TCTTGTGGGACCCTGCAAGAAGTAGGGGGTGTCTAAAATAATCCTCATTTTCCAGAGTCAGCTAAGCAGTTTCCCAGCAATGTAGAGAAACCTCCATTTTTGTGCTCTGAGCAAGGGGGGAAGCAAAATGGATTGCATGGAAGAGATGGGGTGAATGAAAGGAGTTTAGGGAAACTAGTCAGGCCCAAGAGAGCATGGGGAGAGCTGCAGGGAAGAGGTAGGTTAGGAATGGGAGTAGGAGCATCTTCCTTCATGCCTCCAAGTCTGCCTTTCCAAGCCACCCAGTCTTCTGAGTGTGGGACTTGGAAACACCCCACTTCTTCTCTAGTGAAGTGATGTTTTTAAGGAAGGGGAGATAACTGGTTCTTTACACATAAATGCCCAAGAACAAAACCAGTCACTTCTGTAAACCTGTGAATTAATGCTAAGGCCTTTTTTTTTTAAGAATCATTTCTTGAGAAAGACTTTTAAATGTAATTATAAGCTATCAAGAAATGGGAAATAACTTTTCATTTTGTATGTGGGTCTGAATAAATAGATCCATTGAGAAACAGACAGAGCAAGTCTCTTGGAATGCACCAGTCAACAGCACAAATGTAAACATACTCCAGCTACACTCTCTGCACTTGTATTTCAGCACGTCTCAGAACAGAACTGCTATTAATGCAGGCTGACTGCTGCTCTTGTTGAATTCAGTGGTGAGTTCCTGACAAAGTCCAGTTTAATTCACAGACCGTGGACCAGAACCACATTGTGTCTGATGCTCTGGAAACTCAGGAAAGCAAAAGAGTCTCTGCTCTGTCTTAAAGTGAGGTGTATGAAGTTGGTTTGCAGCTGAGTAGGTTGAGGATGACAGCAAGGGAATAAAACGCTGAGGACAACAGATCTTTGTCTCTGTATTCCAATGTGTTCATGCAACCTTATCTCCTAGATAAGGTAGACCTACCACATATTTATCCTCATCTGGTACCAGTCCTGATGAAACAGAATCCACTAAGAGTGTTGCTCCATGAGTTCAGATAACTGCAGAAAGCCAGTAGCAAAATCTGTTAGAATCTTAGCCTGTAAAAACTGTCAGGTTACTGGAAAAGAACTGTGTAAAAGAAAACCACAATTCATTTGATTGTGCTGAAACTGGACTTATCCTGGCAGCTGCAGGGGAGCAGTATCTATTAGGCTGTGGTTAAAGATGAAATAACTTCATCATATCTCGAGTTTTTGCTAGGGTTTTTTGGTGTTTTTTGTTGTTGTTGTTGTCTTGATAAATGAATGTCACCAAACCTGATCGTGTGATGTTATAGTTGTCTTTATTCCAAAGTATAACTATGTTGTCTATTTGTAAGGGGTGTATAATAGTGATACCAATAAGGAAAGCTTAATCACAAACGGATGTATGTAAGATCTGTGCTCCAAGAGTCCTAACTATCTGGAAAACAGGCCTGATGTGCAGGAATCTTTAGCTTCTGCTGGTGAAACCTCTTGCCAAATAGAACGTCCTTGACTATAAAAGGCTGCTTATGGCATTCTTTGTCTTACACATTTTTGATTGGGCTTTGGAAAAAGCAGCATTAGATACAGAGTTGAATGCTGAAATTCCCTTGCGTAATGTTCTCCATTTCACATATTTCATTGCTTCTTTTACAGATCCTTCTTATTTGACATTTAAGTCACTTCTTCCTTCACCTGCAGGTTTATTACAGGGTCAAAGGAATTACTGTAGCCTCTTGTCCTGTCTCATGATTGTGAGGTACTTCAACTATGTTGCTCTGGCATGACAGAGGCTTAGAACAGCAGTCAAATCAAGCTCTGAGCAGTAACTTCCTTACATGTTTAAAAATAAAAGGTAAATATAAGTTTCATTAGGCAAATGTACCTTAATTACTGAATGTTTATAGAACATTTTGTGATGGTCAGAGGCAAGGTCCTGTGCAAATGCAGTGTTTTATTAAAATATTTAATAAGCAGATTCTCTGACCCAGTAGAGGGAACAAAGATGCCTGGCCTCTCTTAATTTTCCCTACCCATAATTATTTCTACAGAACATAAATTACATATTGTACAGCTTTATTCTGTTTTCAGAGGATAATTACGCTAGAATTTCCAGCCTTCTTTCTGTGGTGGGACCTCTTTCTCAGAAACCACACCTTGTAGAATTCTGTTTTTCATTTGAGAAGGGTTGAATTCCCATTTTTGTCAACAAGTTTTTATGGATTGACTGCTTTCAAAAGATGGATACAGGTAAAATTGGAAGCTCTTACTCGCAAATCATGAACTTCATAGCAGCCTTCAAGTATCTGAAGAGGCCTAGAAGGATGCTGGGGAGGGACTCTTCATTAGGGACTGTAGTGAGAGGACAAGGGGTAATGGGTTAAAACTTAAACAGGGGAAGTTTAGATTGGATATAAGGAAGAAGTTCTTTACTGTGAGGGTAGTGAGGCACTGGAATGGGTTGCCCAAGGAAATTGTGAATGCTCCATCCCTGGTGGTGTTGAAGGCCAGGTTGGACAGAGCCTTGGGTGACATGGTTTAGTGTGAGGTGTCCCTGCCCACGGCAGGGCGGTTAAAATTTGATGATCTCAAGGTCCTATTCAACCCTAACTATTCTATGATTCTGTGATTCTATGGTTCAGTCTGGGAGTTGTATTGGAAGCTGATGATATAGGAGGGGAAGGGTTTTTTTTGCATGTGAAATCTGTTAGCGATTACTTCTAATTTCATGCCTGCTACTGTAATCGTGAGAGGAGCCTGTAATTCTTGTTGTAGTCATCTGAACGTCTTCAGTGGTATCTCCATGCTGAGAGGGAACTTGGACTTGGTTGCAAATGAGGCAAGGCAGAATGCAAAACGGGCAGTACAATTTGCTCTGTGTATGAGATTGGAGGCTTTTATGGGTATATTTACATAAGCATGTAAGGAGTTTAATAAACAAAGACAGGGTCTTAAAGAAAGGTTCACAACCCCCTTGGAACAAACCAGGAGGGACGAGGTTTTAATTCTCCAACCCTAAAGACTGATGGGCCCACTATGCTTTCAATTTCCTAAGAGCAGACTACTGTTTCAGAAGCGTTCCAGCTTAGTAATAATGTCATAGTCACCCTTCGATGTTTCACTGTTTTTAACATCCACAAAATCATAGCAAAATCATATTTCCTTGTGAGTAATTTCAGTAAGGGGGTAGCAGCAAGGGAACTGAATTCAGGGGGGTTTAAATCCCGTTGAAGTCTTTCTTCTCCTGGCAAAGTTTGTTTGTGTTCTTATGTAGCTGTGCTGTGCTCAAGGCTTTTTTTACTTTTTTTCCATCATTGCATATGCAAAATCCAGACCTGCAGAACTGTTCCATGTGGTGAGCAGTCTGCTGAACCCAGACTGTTTTGCCTGAGTAGCAGATTTCCATATACCTCATTATGAGTTTGGGTTTTTTGATTTATGTAGGCTCCGTTCCTTCAAAGGGATGTACGACTGTAGACCTTTATACCTACCAAAGTGATATCTTATCAAGCACCGTGGAAAACACAAGGGCAGGTCCCACTGGAGAATAAGAGCCTTGTTTTGCAGAGAACTTTCTTTCCAGCCTGTTTAATCTTTCATGGAAACAGCATGTAAACAGGAGTCCACAAAGTAACTTAGCTTTTGAAGCTTTCTAATTGTACCCAACAAGGCTCTGGATGTTTAGTGAATGATGTAAGCCACAGTGTGTAATGCAAATTTATACCCCTTTTGATTGGTCAAAGACTATAAGTAGGATTTAGGCCAGCGCTGCTAAAAGAAGGTAGTATGGACTTTAGCTGGTTGTTGCCTTGTGCAACCTCATTTAAATAAAAAGTGCTAGGTCTTTCCACACCAAAGAAGTCATTATCCTCAGCAACAGCAGGCATGCTTCAGTCTTCCATCCTATGATAAAGGCAATTGATTAAGGTGCCTAAATACACCTCTGAAGTTATCTTACTTCTGTGAATTCGGATTTCCAGTCTCTGTATGGACAGAGTTAATGTCTTTGTCCTTATTATTTCCTTCTGGGGATGGACAAAATCATAAAACAATGTAGGCTGGAGAGGACCTCTGGATATTACCTGGCCAAGCCCCGCCTTGGAGCAGGGCTAGCTTAGATCAGCATACTCACGGGCAGCTGTTCAGCTGAGCACCTCTGATGACAGAGATGCCCCAGCCCTTCTGGGCCTACCTCCCAGTATTTGATTACTGTCACTGGGAAAACATTTTCCCTAATAGCTAACCAGAACTTCCTTTGTTGCAACATGTCTGCATTGCCTTTCATCCTGTCACTGTGCACTTAATACAAGACTGGCTCTGTTTCTCTATATTTTTCCATTAGATGACTGAAGGCATCAATATGCCTTCAACAACAATATGCCTTCAACCTCTGTCTTCAATATCACCCCCCTCTTCCTCTTCAGTGTTCTCTTAAAACTGAACAAACCCACTTCTTTAGGCATCTCCCCCTTACATTGTGTACCTAATAATCTTTTTGCCCCCTTGATCTAAGTACATTAACATCTGTGTTGTATTGGAAGGCCCAAAATTGGAGTAGATGGCATAACTGACATTGCATATATCAACCTATTACTTCGCAGTCCTAATTATTTTGCTTTGCGTAGCTGTTTTGACTGAAGGTGCCTTTTTGAGTAATTCAAGACTCAGAATCTCTCCTGCCATGTTAACAAGGTATCTTAACTACAGTGGTCCACATCTTATTGATGAGGGCTAAGAAACAGAACTGTTTAAAAAGGAAAAAGCTGTTTCCTGAGAGAATGCTTTGCATTAGTGATACTCTTGATTAAAGTAGTTTAATTACAGTAGGTCATGGTATAACCTGCTTTTATAGATGGTATCACTCAATAGTTTTATATCACCACAGCATAAAATTCACTTGCTCATTAAGGCCCTCTGACTTTCAGAACAGGGAAAGAGGGCAGTGTAGAAATCGCTTTCAAATCCCAGGGACTGTACGTGTAATGTAGTGTTATATTAACTTCTATTCCTAGTGCACTTGGAGGATCATCTGCCCTTCACATCCCAGCCTTTCCTGGTGGAGGTTGTCTTATCGACTATGTGCCCCAAGTATGCCAGCTGCTAACAAACAAGGTAAGTTAGTAAAGAGAACTCAGTTATCCTTTGCCTTATGTGCTGTGCGGTACTGTATTGCAGTAGCATGCTATAGCATTTCTATAGACATGGTTTTTCTTCTGCCAGGTCCAAGCACGCTACACTTAAGGTAAGCTGCTTCACAAGGAGCATCTTTTTGATATGAGCTGAGCGCCTAAGAAGACTGTTAAATACAATGACTCTTTTTAAGTAAAAAAAAGCTTGTTTGGGATCAGATCCTGGAGAGGGATTTTCTTCCTGTGACATGTTAAGATTTAGGACAAAATGTTAGTGTATGGTACAACAACTGTAACATATTATTGCTTTACTAGATACAGATGTAATTTGCATATTATTTTTCCAGTTGGAAGTTCTCATGCCATAGTCATCATTGTAGGTTTTGAGTACTTTCAGTGATTTTCTTCTCAGCTCTTTCATCCAGATGAACTGAATCAGCAGTCTGTTGGGGTGTTTATACAGCAACAACTGTTTAAGGTTGCTGAAAAGGTTGCGTTCTGGTTAGCTTGCTGTTTAAACAGAAAAGAGTGACTATAGTATTTTGAAAGCATCTCCGTTATTTAAGTGTAACCTTCAAAAGAGAGCTTAGGTGCCAGCATCTAGGAATCTCCCTATTACAGGCCTCCTGTTGTATATTATTTTTGCCTTCAATTGTCCAAATGAGGCAAATAGTTTTATCTTTTAGCAAAAGTTCTTCAAAATGCGTGTCCGTAATTATATTGGAGTCTACCTTTAGAGCTGTTTTTGTTGTGGCTTTCTGTTCAAATTACTTTCTGTTTTTAAAATCGGCAAGTACACAGGACTGCTTTTATCCTTTCTTAAACAAAGTCACTTAAGCAAACTTATCGTATGTTTTCCTTTTCCCAAAATAACATTTCAGCTCCTACACGGAGCCTTCAAAACCAGTGCAGTTTTTTATAAAAGGCAAGAAGTCTTCAATTTATAAGTAAAATGTAATTTTAAGGGGTACGGGGAATGATTGTAGCAAAGCTTTTTCAAAACCTTTGAGAAAGCATTTGCCAGCCAAGGAATTCTGATATTACCATAGCCAAGAAAAATATTCTTCCTCTTCTTTTCATGTTCAGTGGGGAAAAAGGGTTCTTAAAATGTTAGTTTTCATTCTGGATGACAAAGGTATTTATATAGGGAATCACATATGGAACCATACTGTAAACACTTGAAATAAACAGTTGTAAACCAGATGCTCTTGCAGCCTAACAACACGTGCATTGTTTCTGTTACGGGTCAGACCCTGTTCATGCTGTTCTGCTAAGTAATCCCATTCAAATCAATAAGAAAACATACATGGTGCGAGGAGAATTTTGCCTGAAGTCTTCCAAGTTTAGCATTGTTGGGTTTTGCCAGGATGGAAGCCTTTCAAAACCCAGAATGCCTCAGAAATTGATGCTCGCAGTTGAGTAGGTGGCTCCCTGAGTCAGCATGAAACCACTGAGAGAGCTTAGTGTTAAGAAGATTTTGTTGGAGGTGCAGTCTCCAGAAAACACCCAAGATCAGTTGTGAAATACTTTTCTTTTCTTTTATAAGCAGAATGTTATTTTGACACTGAACCAACTGTCAGTTCAGGTAATTATGATTTGCCTATCGCGGCTTCCTGCTCAAACTTCAGCAAGGCAAGGCCACGCGTTGCTTTTCTTTGCTCTTCATCTTGTGCCGTTAAACAGTGCTTCAGTACGCTGTGAAATGCTAAGTTTCACTCAGAAGTGAGTGAAGAGATTTCTTTGTGCAAGAAGAGATTTTCTGTGTGCAAGATCCAGTGTTTGTTTTAAAGGCATTTTAGGATTCTTTAGGGAAATCATGCAAGCTAACTGTAGGATTCAGAGCTGCCACCATGACAGACATAAATTTTCCTTTACAAGGAATATATGACAAATTGGGACCATTGCCTTTTTTATCTTTTTATAGCTCTGGATTTGTTTGTCTCTTTCTTTCTTAAGGTACAATATGTTATTCAGGGATACCATAAGAGAAGAGAGTATATTGCAGCTTTCCTGAGTCACTTTGGAACGTAAGTTTTCTTTTGATGCATTATTTTCTGTAGCGTGGGGGAAAGTTGTTTTCTGCACGTGATCTTTGGTTGTGTGACTGCTGTCCATTGGATTAGATGGAGTCTGGCCATTTTTCACAGAATGGTGGGTGTAGATTGTCCCTCTGTGGCAGTGCTGGGATGAAGTTCAGCGTTACTTCTGTGCCAGTTGCCGATCTGATTTTCCTAGAAATAGCTGGTGATGGGAAAAGGACAGTCGGGGTTTTCTCCTTGTGCAAAAGAAATATGCTCATTTCTGAATAAATGACTGGAGGGGTCTTACAGTAATAGGCAGTGACTGAGGCGGGAGGATGGGGAAGTGGGTACAGTTACAAGCCTTGCAGAAGCCAGAAACCACTGCTTGGCAGGAAAGCAGGACTGGGAGACCAGCTGCTTCCACTGCCGGGCAGGATCTTGTTTCAAGAGAGAAAGGGCTGTCAGGTCATGCTGAATTCCCGCTGCTCAAAGGGCCTGGCATGACAACATATTAGCTTCACAGGTCAACTAACCAAGCGCACCTTGGCACCATGAAGGGTAGGCACTTTGGTTTCCCGCTGAAATCCTGACTCAAGCGAGAGTCCAGGAGCCTATCCAAGAGACTGCCTGACCAGCAGTACTTCATTTCATTGTGAGGAGGGGGGTTCTGCTTCCAAGTGGTGATGCCAAATGACATGAGTATTCGGGAGCCCTTCAACTCTCAGGTCTCTCAAGTGAAGGTAGGAAGACAAGTGGCTTCTAGTATGCACCCAAATTTTGTACAGCTATAGATAGGTAAAAATGACTTGAACTGGACATATGAATAGGCATGATATATGAGTTGATGCAAGCTCAGTCCTTATGAAAACAAGACACTTCCTTTTCTTCTGTGAAAACTACAGTATAGAAGTGGTCCAGGTATGCCTATGAATTTATTTCACTCATAAAGTGGTTCATGAGTCCTAATACTGCTGGAGGCTGTTAGAGAATACTGACTCTGGGCGGTTGAAACATTTATTCCATCTGCTGAGCAAGTCTTCTATATTTAATTGTTCATATGATCTTGTGCTTTGCTTTTTTTGTATTTATCCATTTGAATTTTCAAATCTAAACTCTTCCCAGCCTGCATGTTTTCAATGTTCCTGTCACCTACTACAGAGTTACTGAGTTATCTTAATCTGAGTAACATACATGGATGTAGTTTCTATCAGTTTAGTATTGCAGATGTGTTAGCGGCTCTCCTTTCATTCTAAAGTGTGTTTATATAAACTGAATATGACCTTTCTTTGGGTAAGAAGCTCCAATAACACAATAAGTAAGATTATTACGATGAAAAATGTAATCTAATTTTCATTCAGCTAGCAAATTATCAGTTAATAAATAAACAAAATCCTGGCAGTTTCTGAAACAAGCATAGAAACAAATCAGTCCCTGCAAATACAGATTTTACAGATTTATCATCCAGTATTAGAATGAATGGTAGATAAAAATCGTATTCATATTTTTGTCTGGATTTTTTTTTCGTTGGTAGTGGTGTGGTGGAATATGATGCAGAAGGCTTCACAAAACTTACCCTGCTGCTGATGTGGAAAGACTTTTGCTTTCTTGTTCACAGTGAGTAACACTTTGCCTCAGGCATAAATGTCTATCGTTGTGAAGATACAAGCTCATAAACAAAAAATACAATTCCAGGAAACAGTTTAAAAGTTTTAGCTGTATTTGTGCATTGCTGGATGTATTTTTGATGTGACCATGACACTTTGAAAACACAAAATCCTGACTGTATTTGGAGAAGGAGAGGGGATCCACATCAATAGCGTGCTGCCTGCTTTGCAGAATGCCAGAAGCATTATGGGAAGGTTTTCTGGTAATTTGGCTCAAGACTAAGTTCACAGTTGTACATGCCTAAAATCTCCTGTAATTGTCAAGCATTAATGCATTGATAGTGGTAGTAAAGACACTTTAGTGTAAGGAAAAATCTATTAAATGAGAAATAACACTCAACTGTTGTTACGAACCAAAAGTTATTCCTCGACTGGAACTGTGTAGGCAAAACTGTCTAGCAGTTTCCCACAGTATGTGGCTAGATTTCCTGTAATTTGAAGTTTTTAAATCAAGATGGTATTACTTTAAAAAGACATTCTTAATGAAATAAATATGTAAGAATTAATTCATGTAAAAATTAGTACATGTGGTTTTGTTGCTGCCTTGGACATGTTGCCTTAAATAGCAGTTATTATTTTTCCTATGGCAAGGTGAAATTCACAGCTATCAAAGAGATTTTGGTGTGGGGACATTCAGTCATTCTACACTTTATTTCTGATTATTGCACTTCTCATCTCTGTTTAAAATAATTACAGTGCAGTCAGGGTAGCTGCAACATTAGTGCTTGTTTAACACTCTAGCACTGGAATATTTCAGAGTATGTAATTTTGACTGGGGATATGATGTGGTAAACTATGATGTCTTAATGACATCATAGAAGTTTGTCCCAGAGTTTTTAAAGCAGGAAGTGGGGATTGTGATTGTTCAGAGAAGTCCTTTTCCCTGTGTTGTGTTGGAGGTCATAAAAAATGGTCTCACTGATCCATTTGGTTTTAGCACCTAAGATTTCCAGACAGTGATGACCATAAGAAGTCTAGAAAACTCAAACCTAAAATGAAGAAACTTCCATCACATTAGTATGATTTACATTGTGGGGAAAAAAAAAAAGAAATAAAACAGACACTTCCTGAAAAATTGTCCTTATTACATCTTTACTTACTCTTCAGCTCAAGTGAGAATTGGTCACTGAGTAACTGTCTTCTATAAGATGATGCTTTTTTATGTATAACCTTCTTGAAGATTTCTTACGTTTCCTCCTCACAAGCTAATTTTATTAGTGTTAAATTCCTGTGGCTTTGATTCTTTGCTATGGGATAATATAACTGAGTAGATGTTGAATCAGTTAGATTTCAGGGGAATCAAAATTCAAATTTCTGTTAAATAACAGAGTAGGTTTTAACTGTGTAATATTCAGAGTATCCAATTTAAGTGGCATGAAAGCTACAATTATAACTGAATACTTTATCACTATGTATTAACCCTGTGGCCTTAGAAATCATACATTGGCTTAGCTATGTAAGCCATTGCATCACTTGCTTGTTGAACAACTCACTGCAAAAACATTTATGTTCCATGCACTGAAGGATATTGCAATGAAAGGACCGAAACCTGCACTTCATTTCCTGAGTGAAGTAATGTAGGCTTTCATCTCTAAACCACTGACATAACTATGTATATTATGGTGAATATTTAGCAAGTGTCTAATAAAATGTCTGGGAGAGATAGCTGTAAGTTGAAAACTGTTCCACTTTGTATTTACTGTAGCATGTAAAGAAGGTATTCAGAGGAGAATAAATAGGTCAGTATACAGCAAGCACTGTGGCAGATCAACTGAAAGGAACCATAGTAAATTTTACTGGCATCTGAATTTTGATTAAGACTTTAGGTTTAATTGAGATTGTGAGGTATGTAAACCCTAACAGGAGTTGTGCTTCCTTAAACAGATGCATTCAGGATTTCAGAAATAACTTTATTTGGTGACTGTATTCAAAGTTACAAACTTGTTTGGAAACTAGGAAGAAGTAAAATGACATTATTCAGAGTAGTTCTGTTGAGAAACAAGAAACAGTAAAGTACTTCTTGATTGCAAAAGCCCAATAACCTCAAAACAGTTTCACTTGCTAAAAAGAACTGATTTGTGCTGTAGTTACAGAATGAAGAGCAAAGTCTACCCGCTCGATGTTAAAAAACAGAAGAGCTACCTAATTGCAAACTTAATCATTAGATTAATGTACTTGCTGAAGTTGTTGTGTTAGATCAAAGAGCAGTCAAAGGAACTCTTGCTTTAGTGGTTTAGTTTTAAGAATTAATCAGGTGCTTTCAAATATATGACAGAAGAAATAAACAGAGAAGTTCATGCATCCATATAGAAGAGGAAATCATTAATTGGGTTTACTGCTTTTGATATTGATACTGGTTTTGAGTAAGTCTCAGTACGAAGCTTTGTAGGTAAACTTCAATAAGCTGCTGATATGTTTCTCATTTATAAATCACCTATGATTAGTTTTTGGAGATAGTTTTTTTTATTCATATTCTTGTTCCCACAGACATTCTGTATATTTATACCATGTATAAATGTAAACACAAGTTACATTAACTATGCAATATTAGCCTTATGGAATGGATACAAGAGTAGGACTCCAAAGCAGCCTGTGTATAGGCTTTTCAAAGACTTTTTTTTATATGATGAGATTTCTAGGTTATCAGCACAAAGGACATTGACAGAAGTTGGGCCAGTTGCAGTAGCAAATGAAATGCTGCTTGCGTTAGTGGTTATTTGCTTAAAACATCTTGAAAAGGAGAGATGCTGAACTAAAAAGGTTTTGTTTCATTAAACAGTATTTCAAGGGATAGAGAATGTTGGAAGCTGCCAGCATTTGTATCCTAAGTTTGTGGAGGATCTCAGACGTGGGTGAAGCTCGTGAGAACACTTGCTACCACTGACCTTGACTGAACTGTAAGGGGTTTCAGGTTCTTTGTTGGGTAATGCCGGTGCCACACAAGGTCCAAAGTGCTGGTCATGTAAAAGCTAAAGTTTAATTATTGAGCTTTCTGTCTATGGAAGTGCCAGTTGAAATAGCTTTTGTTCACCCTCTTACCTGTCTGTGCAGTTATGTGGCTACCTTTGTCAGAGAATAGATGAGAAATAGGCAATATGTCAACAAGGAGTTTTTTACACAGGAAAGCAAAGCAAGCAAGGGGCCTGGAGGATTATTTGGGTAATAGAAGTTTATACCAATGAGTATCAGGCTTTGGGCAGATACCCGCTTCTGGACTCAGGGCTATTTTGATGGAAGTCATAAGTACCAGCTTCTGATGCTTTCCTGTTTGGTACTGCTGTCTGCATGTTTGTCAGCAAAGCAATTTGTGCCCCTGCAATCAGCTTACATCATTTGAACTGATGGCCTGATCTAAACAATGGGTGTTCATTCCCATAAACCTTTGTTGGATCTGGATGAGCACATCCATCCACAGCCTCAGAAAGCAGCTTGGAAAATAAAGACACAAGCAAAGAATTTTTGGTAGCTGTGGTTGTCAGATGGGGTTTGGAAGAAGGGGAAGGAGGGAAATAGGACAATTTGGGGAAAAAGCATTAGTATTTGGGAAGACAAATTTACACTGCTATGAAAAGAAAGTACAGCTTAGTAGTGTTCAGAGTAAGAGGAACATTTGCCTGCTCACTGCAAATAAATAGAATTGGGTTGAAGAAGTAATTCACTCCCCCAGTTCCCTCTCCAAGCAGAAATATCTCATTAGGCTCTGCGTATTGTTTCAATAATTCAGTAGAGCAACAGTAATCCTTAGAATGTAGGTAAATGTGAATTTTTCAGGCACCTGGTATAGTGTGTGCTATTTGGGATTAGGAGTACTTACGTGCGAAGGCAATAGTATTTTCTTCACCTAAGACTGTATTTAGTGTTCTTTTTTAGATTGCTTCTGCAGTTTCCTATTTGAAAAGTCACGTGCCTCTCACTAATACCATGGTCAGAGAAACAAATTATTTCTTAAATATTTTTATTACCCAAGCAATTTGGAACCTAGAACATGAGACTGTTTCATGTTGTTCCTGTAAATATTTCAGTAAACTTTTATCTGCCCGTAGTTTTGGCCATAGAGCCCTCTGTTATATAGGAGCTATAGATCTTGTTAAGTGTAAGCATGAGGAGTAGCTAGTGTTTGTTGGTTTGATATGGTATTTAATGCAGTTGGATATGTTCAGTGATTCCTGTGTGCTACTGGAGTATGGATAACCATTTGAGTGGGGTTGGTAGCTTTGGAGATATGTTATTTTTCAGTCATGTAAGACTCAGTCGCAAACCTTTTGGAAGCTGAAAAGAAGTTCATCTTCAAGAGTTTCTCATTTTCATCAATATCAGTGTCTTGCAGTGGTTACAATTAACAGTTAAAGTTCCAGGGAAAAACAAATCTTTGGAGGAAACGAAGACTGCATTCCCTGCTTCAGGGAAGCTACTCTCATTATGAAAGAGAAGTCTCTTCAACAAACAGTATGGAAAAATAAACTGCTGTCTGCCCAAGTCGTTCCCTAAAAAAGGGCCAGTTGTTGAGTGGAATATTTATATTAGATTGCTTGGGTGAGCTTTTATCTAATGAGGTGTTTTGGCTTCCTTACCCAGTGCTTTTACTTTATTCTTCTATTTTATTATTCTTTCATTGTTCCTTAAATGGAAAAGGGAATTTATCACTCTCTGAAGGAGAAGGGAAAAGAGAACTCATGACAGGGTGCATAAGAAGGTATAGGAGAATGGAGCAATGTCTGATAGTGTCAGGAGAGCAGGGTAGCTCAGCAGAAATGTTAAGCATAACAAAATAAATGTTTCAGAAGTCTAGTGTGAGAAGAACCATGCTGATCAAGAGAGTCTGCAGAGATCATTATAAGGGTGTCATTTTGTTCTTAAATGAGTAACTAGAGATTAATAAAGCCCCAGTGATGTAAAATTGGCTGGCAGAAGTTAAAAACCATTTGGATCTCATGGTTGGGAGTTCTTTTT